CGGAGAAGTGGACGTGGCCGAGAGCGCTGGCAGGTGGCAGAGAGCAGAGATCATGACATTTTTGCTCTTTTAGAGCATTTAGAGTTTAGAAACAATGTTCAGAATATTGCAAGAGTGTGGTAAAGGATTAAAATGCCTTTACATACACACACACACACACACATATATATATATATATATATATACATACAGCAGTCCCTCGCTATTTCACGATTCGTTTATCGTGGACTTGTTCTATTGCAGTTTTACAAAATAAGATTGTACATGGCACACAATTGGCTGATTGATGAATGAGGCACAAAATCTTTTTTTTATTTAAAATTAATTTTATTATTTATAATAATTTATTATTATTATTTATTATTATTTTAAATTATTTAGCACCTTCTGCACCTTTTTGAGACCCAGAGCTGCAGAAAAAGCTTCCTTCTGCACATTTGTGCAACCCACTGCAGGATAAACTTCCTGCTGCAGCTGATCAGCTGTTCGTGCAGAGTGGAGAAGTGGGCGTGGCCAAGAGCACTTGCAGGTGGCTGAGTGCAGGTCAGGCAGGGAGTTGAAATCATGACATTTTGTGCTTTTTGAGGGCGTTTAGAGCTTAGAAACAATGTTTAGAATATTGCAAGGGTGTGGGAAGAGTTTAAAACACCTTTATATATATATATACAAAAATAAACTACTGCTTACTACTTGTACTACTATTCTTACTTTGCAATTTTTCATTTATCATGGGGGAACTGTGAACAGAAACCCCCGCGATAAACGAGAGACTACACTAATAAAATAATAATAATGTGATAATATGAAACATACAGTCGAGGACATTTTCTATATCCTTTTTCGCTGTTTCCAGATGCAGTGACGATGGGCTCCGTGTTTGGACGCAGCACCGCTTTGAACCTGCAGACGTCGCAGCTCAACACTCCCCAAGACGCTTCCTGTACACACATCTTGGTCTTCCCAACCTCCGCTACGACACAGCTGGCACCCAGCTCCTATCCCACAGAGGACAACAACGGTAACGACTTAGAAAACAGTAAATCGTATAAGTTGTTCCTTGTACTTAGACATAAACAAAAACTAAAGCCATATTTGAATGCCTCACGTGTGCTTGCTTGTGTTAAAAATATCTCTCACCAAGAGGATGTTAATCTTTATTCTTTGAAAGACGTGAACAAGTCTTGTTTTGATAAAATAAGTTAATTTTTAAAATACAGTTCTGACTCTCTCATTGTCTGTTTCCTTCCTCAGATGACATGTTTGATCTCCCCTTCCCCGACGAACTAGAAAATGTTATTGGCCACGATATGATGCTGATCAACCTTCACCCTTCTCCAAACACTTCTCCTGTGCCCTCGCCTGGTTCGCCGTCTGGGATGGGAATGGGATCACATTTCCCCCATACCAGGGTGAGTCAGGGATCAGATGAAAAAGCAAATCATGAAGAAGTGACTTGGAACGTTGAAAACAGCTGCATCTTAAATATAAATAAATATCAAATCAAGTATTAAGTAATTCCTAATAGGAACCCATTCTAGTAAAACTGGTGTTTTTTAATTGCACTTTGCAATTAAATATGTTGATAAACTCATGTGAATTAATGTGAAATTAAAAAAAATATTGTCATATACCGCATTAGCAATGTTAATTCATTCATATGCACAATAGTTCAAGTTCCAGTCAATTTTATTGTCATTCTCATCACATGTGGTACATGAGGTGGAACGAAGTTATGTACACAGGCTCCCAGTTACACCCAACAATAGCAAAAATACAAAGTATAAAGTGTAAAAGGAAACAGTAAATAACGATCTAAGATATACGCCAAATGAACACCAAAAGATCTAAGATATACGCTAAACACTTAATAATGTAAAATAATACGGCGTAACAACAACAGCCCGAACATGAGTCCGTGGTGAGCAGATGGGTATGAATGAATACAGCAGCATGACATCAGCTGCATGAGATCAGCAGCATGAGATCAGCTGCATGAGATCAGC